CTTTCTCAACGTTTTCATAATTTAACAACTTTGTTCATGCTTGACGACACATATCGTGAGAGGGCAGGCCGCTAGAAACACAGTGTTTGTATTGAGTAAGGATGTCTTGTTCAAATCATGTTCGGTCAACTTGGATTTCACCTAGATTATGATACCGGAAAATGAAGAAGAAGAAAACAATCAATTCTCAGGCCAACCAGCTAGCAAACCACAATTCAATCAAGAATCAGACATGCAAGCATGCCATCACAGTTTGTGGAATCTAGAGTAGGATACAAGTGTCAAACAGGTAAACGGGAAAGGGAATAATATGGGGTCATTTTCAACAACAAAGTACTTTGTTCAAATCATTAACTTATATTTTACATAAATTTCGAACTTAACATTCAATTTACACTTGGGAAGTATAATGTATCGGTCTCTATGTTTTCGTTGCGATTGTGATTTTCCTCTTCTTTTTTTTGACGTGTTTGTCATCAATGTCACAACATTTTTGCTTTCGATCCTAAGGCCTAGGATGGCATGTCCAACAACAGCAACAACAACAACAACTAAATAATACATAAAATTATATTATGAATATAATTTATACACATACACAATTTCGTTTTTCTCTATCAAAATATCGATGGACAAAATTATGAATGCATTGAACAGCAAACAACGTTTATGTTGCCATAGTAACCACGGTAGGAGGAGACATCTGGTTGATATTCAATCGCTTGATAATCAATAGACAACTCTATGGTTTGATCGCTTGTCGATTCCTGATGGATGATATTTCAGTGTGACCCCGCCCAGTTGCACGTGAGGATATTTATATATTGGGTCGGGTGTGTGCGTGTGCGTGTGTGTGAATGGATGTCTGTAAGACATAATGTGCAATGTGCGCGCACGTGTATGTATAGTATGTTTTATTATCAAACTCATCAAACAAATATTTATGTAGATGGCCTCTCAAATCTGTTCAAGGATTTCACACGACGGTTCACGCCTTCATAATGAATATCAATGACATCTGATTCTATTTTCATAAAATTAGCTTATGCTAACTCTTTTATTACACTGATTTTATGAGCACTCCCCCCCCCCCTAAAACAATTTTGCATTTCAAAGCGAAAACCGTAACCACCTTAGCGAATCAGTACAAACCACACCCTCTTTTCGCGTTTCATAGATAATGAGTATGATTAATTACCCGAACGAGAATGGGTGTGTCACGTGCATTTCATACACACAAAACCCCCACATGGCGGTCTGTCTGTAATTACAGTCACCGTGGCGTTACAAATGTTATGGTATATGTTTTGTTTTCACATATACATATTGAATGCAGCACAAGCTCGATGAAATCAGCTCAAGTTCGACGAAAATGTTCGGTTCCATACAGTAAAATATAAATTAAAAGGCATATTGACACATCGATGCCATCTTATCATTTCTAACGTTTATAGAAAAAGGCCCACGGAATTTTGTTTTTTGTTTTTTGAACACTTATACTTTATTTTAAGTATGGATTTAATGTTTTACGATGTTAGGTGCTATTCTAGTAATTTATGATTTCATAATTTTCATAATTGCAGCCTAAAGAAACAGCTTTTAGAAAATTGTTAGGGTTTAAACCTCCTCGTTCGTTTAAATAATAACCGAAATCAGAACTACAATTTCCCTTTTCTTTCTTTCTACTATATACAAAGCTTGAACATGAAAGCGATTGAATTCCAATGTCAAGCACACGTCATGGGGCCATGAAATATTACTTTACAACAATACAAAATGGGAACAATGATGGGAGGCGTCGAAGCCATAACGGGTTGATGGACACCAAATGAAGTGGCTAAATTTGGATTGAATATATTACAACAGATAAAAAAATATATATGACAACTAATAAAGTGTAGAGATATAGCATAAAGTAGTATATGAATGGATAATTAGAGTTAGCATGAGAGACATCTGTTGAAACAGGTAGATAAATGCAAAAAAAACAAAGCAAGGAATACCGTCAAACAGAGTAGACAGATTGCCTGTGTGTACATCTCACTTGATGTTTCCCCTGTCTCTTGACTTCTTCACTCGTCGATCGAGTCCATTTATGTATAGCATCTCATGCTAGATTAAATAGCTGATTAATTTGCTTATTCTATGGCGAGATGTCAACAAATTCACGTCGGAAATTCAACATTTGCCTGCCCAGATATCAACACTGTTCTACAAATACTTCCACTGCATGCGATGAGATAATACAAATTAGCCACTGCTTTACACTGTCTCTATATTGACAAGTACCTCGTTATATATACTCTCTTATTATCTCTGGGTAAATTAATTTGTAAATATACAAATATGTAAAACCGGAGGAGTGTCAATATGTAAAGATTATATGCGCTTACTATTAACGGGCTTCGCAGATTTACAGAGGACAAATACACGATATATGTACTGAAGACTGGCATTGCAGTGCTAATGTATGAAGTAGGAGTACAATTCAATTCCATGTTTGTCTGTCCACATTTTGATTGCAGATAATCTTGAAGTTTGATACTTCATTTGATGAGTGTCAACTAAAACAAAAATAAACATGCCTTCTAGAGTATACAGTCAACGCAAGACGCACTGCGTTCTGGATACAGTGCAGTAACCCACTGGAAAACAAAGATCCTTTCACATTCAATTATCAATGTCTAATATCATAAAAAGGGAGGAGAAATTAAATATCTACTGAAGTATGTAAAGAGCAACATGGTTGCTAAATGTTTGGAGGTAGTGCTTTTATAAATTGTATCTGCATTGGATTCACTAAGATTACGATTTAAGAATAAAAGTAACCTTAACAGATGTTAGGTCTTTTTATTATAAGGTATTTGGCGTCACCTGTGCATGGGAGTGGAAAAAAAACTGCATCACTGTAATCCTCGGCTCTTCCGTCACGGTTTAATTGATAAAGATAAATCAATGTTTGTGTGTTTGTGTATGTAAAATATATTACTTTCCTAAATGCAGTTTGTTACTGTACGGAAGAAAACAAAATTAATATTATAATTTCTTCATCAAAAAGATTGTGATGATTAAATCACCGTTTTCTTTCAGAATGTCATTTGTAGTCTTTTGATATTTGTTGGTGGACCATGTTTAAACAAATTACCAAATGGAAAAATATGCAATGTATTTTGTGTCTATTTTGTTTTTACTTGAATTATCAGGGAACGTAAATTCCTTTAAAAAAAATATTCGGGCTTTCGACGACCTACTTTTTTTATACAAGGAATGCCAGACAGCAAAAATACCATTCTTACAATTGCGAGGTTAATTTTTGTAAGACTTATTTGTAAGATTTCAAACAAAATGATTGGATTTGCCCAAGTGATTTTCCTCGCAAACACCAATTGAACTAGAATGGAACTGAGCTGAAATGATAACACAAAATGAATGAGTGTCACGACCTTGGCTAGTTTGAGTGATTAGGGAGATCGGACGGTTTAAAGGAGATTTAAAAAATTGACTTCTCTCTTTTTTCTCTTCTTTTTGCTTGTGACTTTAAAAATATGCTAAAGACAAACACGCCCCGGTGGTTCTAAAGGTTGGTATAGCAGAGTCAACAGAGACAGAGAATGGTAAATAATTGTGTTTGGGAAAGAGCTAGAGAGAGAAGAACTTAAACCAAAGAACAAACGGATTGAACTAATCCATCTTATGATGTCAAGATACGGGGAGGGACTCGACGATAGAGGAGTATGAAAGAAAAGGGAAGGAGTAGCAGAGATAGAGAGATATAAATATAGATGGAGAGAGAGAGGGAGAGAGAGAGAGAGAGAGAGAGAGAGAGAGAGAGAGGGGGGGGGGGGGTGGCCGTCGGTATAAATTAGAATTCTATGCTTTATAATAAGAATAAAAAGCAATTACAAAAATTAAAATGGGTTAAATTTATGTTGAAACTAATGACAGAGCAAGGTATGTTGAGAGGGAGAGGGGAAGGAAGGGATGGAGAGAGGGAGCAAGGGGTAGAAAGAAAGAGAGAGATGAGAAGTTAAATGAAAAGAAAAGAAATAGAAAGAAGGGCAGAAAGATCAGATAAACGTACACCCAAGATTGTAATGTGTTGCCCTTTGATCAGCCTCCTAAAAAGCTATCTACAGATAATGACGCTTTATGGTAGGTTTTTATGTTCTTTATCTCTATTAAATGCCTCATTTCAACGTTCATAATTACAAGGGCACACTCGTGAGGGCGTAAACTTAATAACCATCGCCATAAATCTGTATAATAAAATAAAGTTCGTCATAATTATATATGCCACGCATGTTCATCTTAAAACACTGAACGTTATGCTGGCTCTATACATAGCAACACAATTACATGCACACCGTTTGGTAAATTGGAAGCTGCGTGCAATTGAACATCGAATTCCGTGGCATTTAATATCTTTAAAGTAATAATTGCTCATCGGAAAATAACGACTAAACATTCTTCAATTTCTTCAAAATAAGAAAAAGCAAAACAAAATGCAGAAAATATAAATAAAATGTACTGTGGTGTAAATTGCACTGATCAATATTGTGATACTATTATAACATTCTCTCTTTCATTATAAGTAGCTTCTCAATTCTACAGTGGATTAATAGTCGAGTTGCACCTGTATTTCCATTTTTTCCTTCGCGTTTATGATATCTGTCACAATTTATCACAGTAGATTCAAAGCAGAAAATTCTTTTTAGAAACGATCAATGTTTTGAAGGCGAAAGGAACAGACTAAATTTTCTCAAGGCAGTTATTCTGTGTCTGTTTTTGACCTGAGCACACCAATCACGGCCTCATCCACACTCCAAACCAGGACTACATGTATACTACACCTTTTTCATCTATATCATACAGATCACAATCATTATCATCACCACCAAAGGTCAAAGGTCACTACTATCTGTGATCTGGGGGTGAACCCGGGGGAAATCTCGGCAAGTAGTCAAAGAGGAATTAAACCAAAAAAAAATCCAATCACAAGCTCCATGTTTACTTGCACACATTACTGCGTTTTATTGAGGAATTGTACTTGCACCCAATACAAATAAGGGCCAAGTGGTACTGGTTGTGGAATATAAAAGAGTAAATAAAAAATGAAACATGCATTTTGGCATAAATGATAGGCAAACATAATTGGGTTAAATGATTCTGGCACAGAAATAAAAGGGGTATATTGAGAAGATCATTTTGTATATTTAAAGCACAGACACCTTGTTAGCTTAAAATTGATAACATCTACAGATATCATTGACTTCAACAGTAACTTCCATTTTAACCGTATACAGTTTTATCAAAATGCAGCAATTTTCTTTTGATTGTAAAAATGGCAAGGACCGATTTTTTGTACTTGGCGAAACTAAAAAGATTAATAAAAAATGTGTGCCTAACATTCACTGTACTAATTCGTCGGATATGATAACCCCCAATATTACAGTACTCACTACCGGTATTTTTAGTATTAGGTTTGACATTAAATTCAACAAGATACATTTTTACCTTATATGAATACCCGTTTTCAAATTTACTGTAGCTAAAACTTTGTCAACTGATATACACAAAATATTATATATTGAGCACAACAAAAAAATTAGTCTGATGACAGGGATAATACATATTAAAAACAAAATTGAACTTTGATATAATCTAACTTAGCTTTTAGATGCTCCTATTTGTAATGTTTGTGTAAATTGAAGAAAAAAAAGATTTCCTAGCATGAATGATACTATCACACCAGCATCAAAATCAGATCATGAATTTCATTTACACCTATATTCATATAAACTGGAATTTATAGACATTTATAGAAACAACATTTACTATCTTTTCATCTATTGATAGCATAGAATGTCATGATTTTATTTTAGCTCTATCCTCCTTACACAGGGATATCAGACACAAAACTAGAGTATGTATATTTGTGCACATTCAACTTATAGCTTGATATTACTGCACACATTCAATCAATAACTTTCACACACTTACAAAATCTAGTAGATATCAAGGTGAATTATACAGGTAAAAGTACTAGTAAAGTGATTGGTTTTTGTACAGGACTGGATGGAATAAAGATATATAATACTCTGAGAATATGAATAGAATACAATGATTGTGAATATTATAAAAGAAATAAAAGATTTCAGTTTATAATAAGAATCACTCAACATTCTAATATATACATGTTGTACATTAAAACTATAAAAAACAATGTTTTCATCTTCACATTAATATAGGAATGACTTCCTTTTTTAAAAGACACATAAAGACATGCCTACAAACAATCTAATTAAAAGATGACAAATGGAAATTTTGCTATTTTATTTTAAAAGGATAGTACTCAGTAAAATCTGACTTTCTTCATTTTTATCAATATTTCCTTTCCATGACTATCACTGTAAAGTAAGATAATTTGTGATAGGCTAATTAAAATGACTGAATTTGAGAGAGCCTAAAATCTGAGTATACAGTTGTCAGTAGTATCATCACAGCATATTAAAGTAATAATTTATTCACAAATATCTTGTAGATCATGATAATAATAATGTAAAAGAATTGCTGAGACTTATTAAGTTGACTAGTGCTAAGAATATATCTATGTTTAAATAGTCTGTTTCATTTTAAGTTCAGGGTGCAGTATTTTTCAAGTCAATAGGTATTTCACTTGAAGTTTTGCTGCCAACACACATAATTTTACAGTCATCTTGCCGAGTACTGTATTTCAAATTCCTGGTTATAGATGTGCAAGAAGTAGAAGAGTTATGATTTTGAGACCTAAATGATTTACGTGTATCTGTACACGATTGTCAAATAATCAAACTATACACCAACTATACTCCTAAATGAATGAATAAATCTACATTGTCATATCACCTCCCCCCCCCCACTTCATTAAAAAAGAATTAATATTACTCTTTTTTTCTTCTTCTGAATTGCAGATGGAGAAGGAGCTCATCAGACTGTCTTGACTGTTCCTTCAGTCACCTTCTTCCTCAGCACTGCCACAAGTCGTTCCAACCTAGATGCATGTGCAGAGACAAGGAAGAGAATTAGAGAAGGAAAAGAAAAGTTCAATGAGAGAGAGAGAGAGAGAGAGAGAGAGAGAGAGATTTATACTTGGCACAAACTTGTATCATTTTGCATTCCATGTAAAAATGCTTTATGGTTGTTTTCAAGATATCCTATATATGCATACACAAAGATTATCTTTTACATTTATTTCTTCTGAACAATGCTGTTAGTACATACATCATTTTTGTATTGATAATTCAGCAATAAAGGAACAGAGACATTATGACAAAGAGGCACAAAGAAAAGGAGAACATGATAAGAAAAGCACAGGACTTGACCTGATTAATGGTTCACGCAGGGTGGGTTAGGTAAAAAGAAGAAGTAAATCTGACTACAATATTACTAATCTTTTTCAAACAGAAGAAGAAAGAAGATTAAAACATTAACCTATGGACCCCTGGGTTCACTCATTCCTCTTGCATTAGTGCAGGAAACGGAAAGAGCTAGATCTCACAGGTAATGGGTTGAATGATTGTAGTAGAAAGATTGGATTGGTATTAAACTCACTGGTGTGTTTTACTCTTCAGATGCTGATTCTCTTGCTCAAATCTCTGGAGTTGGACGACCATCTTGTTCCTTTCATCATTGGCTGCTCGGACCTGCTGGGCCAGCTGGCTGTTGTTCTGCTGGGTCCGGGCTAAGACCTCGTCCCTGGTCTTAACTTGCTCCTCAATGCTTCCCAGCGTGTTGTTGAATTGGTCCCTCATGTTGGCTTCTTGGGACAGAGACTTATGAAGGCTGAGGGAAAGATAGGATACAGACTTAGGAAATGTTTTCTTATACAGTGAAACCGGTCTATAAAGACCACTCAAGGGAAACATAAAAAGTGGTCTTTATAGGCAGGTGGTCTTTATGTACAGGTTCCAATGAGAAACCATATTCAAGGGAAACAAAAAATATGGTCTTTATAGACAGGTGGTCTTTATAAACAGGTGGCCACTAAAGCAGGTTTGACTGTATAAGCATAAGCTTATCTTTCAACTCCTTAAATTAATTTGAGACCTTTACTTTTTCTCCTTAATATTTATCATAATCTCCATTTTCTAAGAAACTGACCTCAAATGAGTTAGTCATTTGGTTGAGTCAAAGCCACTTTGGCGTCGGTTCAGTGGTGTGACTGAAATGATTCTTACCTGTAATACACCTTCAGTGATTCAATCTCATCCTTGCGCTTCTTGGCAGCAACTAAGGCCTTGTCCCTCTCATCACGGGTGATATCAAGTTGTGCCTGATAACAAACAAAGAGAAGAAGAAAAAAGTGGATAAAAAGATGCATTATTTGTCAATATGCTTATTTGGGATGGCCATTAAGGTTAGGCTGTCTTCTCTTAAAATGTTTAAATATCATCTTTTTTCTCTTCTTCTAAATATCGATATACTTACCCAACATATTACACAGGGATACATTAAACAAACATTTGTATTTGGGGGGGGGGGATGAAGTTGAAAAAGAACAGCTTTGAGGGAAAAGAACCAATGAATCTCAAAAATCAGATACATACCGTAACATAAAGTACGAATTAGTCAATGGTGTTGATCAATTTCAACTAAAATTTACACGTCCAGTTCATGGAAGTACATGTATACACTAAATATGTTTCTTGATAAACAGGTGTGTTTCTCCCAGCCTGGAGCAAGTTTACACAGCATGCTGCCTCTTGGCTAGACACATGTCACCACGTATACACTGAAAATATCAATGGAGATATTCCACTAATCATTAAAACAGTGAAGCAAAAAAAAATCCATGAATACTGGTAAATTTATTATCCTTTATACATGTACAACCTGTATGTGCAGCATTCATGAAGCTGTAGAATCTATACAGAATTTGTAATACATTATCATTATGGTATTTAATAATCTACAGGTGCCATACCTAACAAAAGGCCTTCTTGTTTTTGAATGAAGTAAATGGGTTGATGAGGAACTATACTGTAGCTGGATAATAAATTTTTACAAAAGCCTCAAAATTCTACGATCTAAAAATATATATAAAATATGTAGGTTGGTTCACCTGCAATACATTTGACAAATGAAAATGGCTAATTTCTGAAATAACGAGACTATCCATTCCTATAGCACCATGGATTCTAATGCATACACAAATAATTATAATCAAACAGTACAATATCTCTAGTTTATCAAAAAGGAAAATAAAAAATGTGAGACGGGTGCCCCATTTTTGCATATTGCTTTTCGTTTTGTGTAACCGTCAATCAACCTGGAAATTGGAATAGAGATTGAATCGAGATTTGTGAAAGAGCATTTCAAATCATCACAACAAACACACTAGAATCTCTCCTATTGACACAATGAAATGAGGTTGACCTGTTAAGATGGGCCAGTGTTTACCAATTATTCTAATATCCAAGAGCTCCATATCTTCTCTCATCCCAATATAATCACACGATATAGACATTTCTCCACATTGCTGGGATAAATTTAGACCCAAGAGAGAGACCATCAAAAGATGGAGGTGTGAGAGAAGATGAGCAGGTGAGACTAAAATGACATCAAAAGCAATCTAAAGATTCATGGCAAGATTGTGATTTATTTTGAGCAGAAACACTGTAACCACCAGAGAGAGTAGACTGGAAAGGGGGCAAGGGGAGGGGGGGGGGGGGGTAGAGAATATTTACAATGATGAAATAAATGGGGAAGGGCAACAGGTGTGGAGGAAACAGGTTAGAGAAAAAAAGCATACACTACAAAAAAACCAAGCCTTACATTGGATGAAGAGACCTCTGAAACTATATCTTTAGTTTTTTTAAGTTTTTTAAAATGTAGTTCCGCATAATGACTATAGTGATGTAGAATGACTAATGTGATGTAGAAAAACAGGAGAGAGAAAGAAGGATTAGACTGAGACACAAAGAGGGGACAAATATCAAATTAATCAGAGAGAATGAAAGAGAAAGAGTTGTGTGATATTCCTACTCTCCCTATACATGTCATGAGTGCTCCTCATAACCACATAATGCCTGAATGTAACAGCTGTTGGCACAAAACTATTAATTGGCTTTATGGAAAAAGCTTCAACATCACGTTTTCAACTATGAGAAACAGGATATTGTGTTAGATGATGCCATGGAAGGTGTATATCTAACAGTGGTACACATAGAGAGGGGCGTAATCATATCTATCTGATGGATTGTATGTGTTGAACATCAAACCACATCGAGAATTGAATATGTGGAGAAAATAGATGCATATGCTTTCGCTGATGGCTGGCTCTTCAGCAGATAAAATTACCCTGAGTAAACAAGATAATCATTGAAACTAGAGTAAGCTATCTCCAGTTATAAAAAGGGCACATGATATTGAGTGGGAATGGAAAATAGGATACCAGGTGTTTGCATCTTTCTTTTATACAAAAACAAAAGAAATGACTATTCATCCACATATCATTTTGCAATCTATGGGAGGGGTTCCATCTTTACAGCATGGTGAATGGAGGGCAAGAGTTGTAAAGGTCTTCTCGGGCAGCATGATATAATAATCACTTGTAAAATGAAAATGTAGACTATGAGAGGTTCATCTAAAGAATATATACAAATGTCTTTTGTGTGTCTTCAACACAAAAAATTGAACAATTGTACATGTAAAGCAAAATAAAACGGTTTATATCCTTCTTGTTTTTACATGGTATGAATTAATTTTTCATCTTTATCTCACTGAAAAATTTGATATCTAAATCCTTGTGTCTTTTTGTTAAATTCATTCCTATACTCTTAATGTGGAGGAAAAAAAGAGCAGAGAGAGAGATGGGGGAGGGGGAGAGAGAGAGGGGACGGGGAGGGAGAGATAGAGAGAGAGAGAAAAAAAAAGAGAGAGAAAAAGAGAGAGAGAGTTGTATGAATGCTTAAAGTTGGAACATTGAAAATTTAGCAAGTAATTTGATTGATTTTCGTGGAGCACATCAATGAAGAGATATTGACCTTGAATATAACTTCAGTTCTTTTAAGTCAATCTTGAAATGAAAGTTGCCTGATTGTTATTTATAATCTAACACAAACTAGCCACACGTTTTGCATTTGACTCTCATTCAGCATTGAGCTAGTTTGACACTTATATTCAAACCAGCAGCTGTGAAAACAGCTTGTTGGAATCATCCATGGAATATAGCTTCACTAATGGCACTCTAAACTTTACATTAGAATCTCTGGTAAATATAGAGTTAAAGCCTCAGAATGTTGATTTGGGGAATCTCTGCAGTAATGAATCAACACAAAGTGATGATAACACCTTGGATTTTGATAGTTTCCAGGTACACAAGAACGCACGCTTCATTGTTTGACTCATTTGCTAGCTGTTGATTCAAAAATTATTCCCTGCCATTATGTGAGTTATTGTGATATCAGCTCATTAGCCAAAGAGACCAAACATGCAAACACTGGCACTCAGCTGGTAAACAATTATGATTTAGAGTAAATATGACTAGAAAATATAGTATCTCATCAACAAATAGCACTGTTTGTACTTGTGTAATTCATTTCAGATCATATGGAAATGTTTACAGCATCAACTTCCTAGGCAGGCTGTTCTCATAAAAATCAGTTGAACTATACAGCTGCACAGGGTTTGTGCACATATTTACAAATTCCATCTTTCTGTTTAAATAACACATCATATCACAGGATAATTTGTTGTCTAAAGGAATGATTAATAAATTGCTTAGGAATAATGATGTGAAAATGGTATGCAGTAATTTTCGCATGTAATTAAAACAAATGCAAGAAAGTGCTTCAAATGTAATTCAGTAATTTAGGTTATTATCATTAAATACATGATATTTGAAATATTATTGAGTTATATTGATATATCTGTTTTAAATGTACATGCATGGTGTTACATGTAAAACAAAATATGCCATATCACATATAAGATATATGTGCAGATGTTGGAAAAGGAAAGCACCTAAATACAGTATATACATGTACATTGTATATACACACATTTCTTTTTCATACAAGTTTCAATTCATCTTTGTATAGAGATCAATCTTATCTTACTATGTAGTACATTGTAATGTGTAAATTTGGTATAGAAAGTAAAAAAAGTAAAGAAATCAAACATTAATTCAAAGACTTATGAGAATTTCCCATTTGTTTCCTATAATTGTTGTATACAAAATGTGAAGGCAGAATGGCACAAAGGAATGCAAGCAAATTTTCATTAAAATACATACACGAAAATAATAAAACATATAAAAATACTTGCACAAGCACTTAACATCGAATCAAAATTGAAACCACAAAATAAATAATAAGATATAGGGCTGAGAAAAGGTGGCTGTGATACAAAAATACCGCTAAATGAAATTGCAAAAGGCGGCATGACCCTAAGGGCACAGCAAAAGAGGGCGGAATAAAAGAGGAAGAGAGGGAGAGAGAAAGAGACTGAAAAAGTTTAGTCAATATTTGAGCTCCTCTGTGATGTGTGTTCTCATTCAATATAAATGGAAAGAAGGGGGTACGAAATATTATTACTGGAATTGAAGAAATGCATTAGATTGTGGAAGGGTACGTGCGATTTGGGGATTTCTCACCGGTTTGAAGAGAGATTGTTGGTTTGCTGATGGAACACATGTTTGTTTGGCCAGAAATGATATGCATATATGAGTATTCCTCTCATTCTCTCTTTCTTTCTTCAGTTTCACCTTCAATGATACCTCCAGCGATACAGCTCAAAAACTTATGCATAGTCATACATCAGCTTTTCAAGACTATCAAACTCAAACTTATAAATTCTATTCGTGGGATAGACGAGGAAAAAGAAGGATAAAGGAAATGAAAGACTGGGAGCACAAAGCAATAATTCTGAGAGAGGATATGCAATATTCCTCATGAAAGATACCCAAGTGTTCGATCGAATAGGTGTGCTGGTGCATTTTTCAAGGTTATGTCTACCAACTTCTTCAGTCGGAATTAATATTGAAAGTTCTCTATTTTATATAAAAGAGAAAAATAGATTGGAAATAAAGTGAGAGAAAAGAGTAAAGTAATGTATCTCTTATATTGATTACCGGTAGGTGTTTTTGCTGACCATGTAAGTACAAATACATGTATTGGTGTTCTTAAATCTATATTGCTTAGTGCAATATGTGCAAAACATAACCTATACATGTCAATATATATATATTCAACTAATTTGCTTCATATAGCAGTCTTTCAAAGAGACACCAGTTTTACAATATTTCTTTACACATTCTATACTGCCCAGATTTAAGGGGGGAAAAAGAGAACAAAATAATGAACACACAAACAAACACACACACATGAAAAAATGAAGGAAACATAAGTTGCTTCTACTATATGAAGCACTCCAGAACAAATGATTGAAAAGGGGGGTAAATAAAAAACAAAGTCAGCTATAAGTATCTCCTTATCAAAAACCTTTTATTACTCATCGCGATCATAATGTACAAAATTCATCATCATGGCTTAGTTTATAAGAAGTTAATGTTTCCATTTATATTTTTCCTTTTTCAGTTTACTATTGGACAGCTTAATCTCTGGGAGGACAGGGATAATGTGTATTTCTAACAAAATAGTGAGCAAAGTAGGGTGTCCAGGGAACTAAGAAGAGAATTCTTCTTGGGTTTGATATGGTATACAGAAACATACAGACCTAAATATAAACAGAATAGGCAGAGAGACAGAGTAATAGAACGAAAGCCAGGACTGTTTGCAACGTACAACAGTGTCAGGAGGTCATAATGAATATGCAAATAAAATGCAAATGAGAGGTGGAGCCTATGACTAAGGAGGTGTGTTTTCAGCACCGGTGAATACAAAGGATGTTTGCTCTTGACAAACATCACCCTGTGTATCAGGTAGGCGGTGGAGGGCAGCATGGCACTTTGGGTACTAGCAGTATGAGAGGAAAACCTTATGCCTTCAAAATTTAACTTTTGCAAAGATGGATTGTAACTAGAAATGTTTACTGCTACATAATGCAAATGTATCCCCCCACTATAATGAATTCAGCTTATAATACCCTTACAGAGACAGGAAATTTAGGACAGTATCACAAAAACCATATTGGCCTTTTAAAAAAAACTTCATTGTTGTCTTTAGGAATATTCACTTTTGCCCTAAATAGGACAGAAACCTGAGGGCAGCACCATCCAAAGCAATAGGCCCTTACACTATTTCATAAAAATAAAATCAACATTCCAAATTTGAATTATATACAGGTAAATATGTGGCCTGTGAAGTGCGCACAAGATACCCGTCTACATATGACCTTTGACCCTCAATTAGGCAGAACACTACTGATGGCAGTATTGCCCAAAACTCTAGATTTGCCCATCATACAAAAAAGAAGCTGTGCAGAAATGCAGGCTGAAGAGTGCACACAATACATCCAGTGAAATTTAATCTTTGACCCTTCAAAAGATCATAACAACAAGCTAAAAATTAACAGCACTCACCTTAAGTGACTTTTCATTGTTGTTCCGAGATTTGGAGCTCTCTTTGTTTCTCCTCAACTCAATCACTTCCCTTTCAAGCTTTTTGCACTGAAAAAATAAATTACAAAATAAAGACACTATAAGGATGTGACTTCACCACCACCTATGTTGTATGACAGTACACATTTGTTTAATTTTGAAGAGAACATCATTGTACATCTTTAATGCAAACACCTGATTTCTTCAGTAATACCTAGCTTAATAATTCATGAGCACCTTATGAATTTCATGAAGAAAGTCATGATTTCCTTTCTCTAAACATTTTACATACAGCATCGAATTTGGACAACAGTAATTAAAGTTTGAGCCTTGTGAATCAAATTTGGTTGGATTTCATCATGTCTCATGGATATATTTAAAGTGACAAAGGGACATATAGAAGCCATTGTGCGTATAATAGAATGTGAAAGATTATCTGCCGTGAAAGACAAGCATGCATACCTTTGCTACAGCAATGTCCTTTTCTTTGAGTATGGCCCTCATCTCCTCTGAAGTGATCTCCTCCCTCCTTCCTTTGGTTTTAGAGATACGTCCGATGATGGCTGACCCATACTTGCTGATTGATGATCTGTTGTCAGCTACTGTCAACCTTGTCAGCAAATTATTGAGGCTCTGGGAACAGATGTGAGATGGGGCATGACTATAGAACCATAGAAGAGTCAGAAGAGTTTTTCTCCAATGGTGACAATTTTTGAACTAAGGTATTAGAAGATCACTAGACATATTGTATCATTTTTTAATTATTTATTTATTTATTTATTTATTTTGTGTCATGTCATGGAATGGATGAAGGTATACTGTACCCTCTGCTGAGAACCATCGGGCATTAACTCATCTTTCATTATCCACTTCACATCCTCCAGTGGACGAGATGTTTGAGAGAATCAAAAAATATATCAAAACTTATGTCTACTCACTGCGTCAGCTGGGGTGTTGTCTTCTTCATTGGAGTTGACATCTGTCCCTGAATCAAAGCCATCTTTAGAATGATACCTCTGAAGTCTGGCAAAGGCATCATCTCTCTCGTCATTGGCCAGGTTCAGTCGGGACATGATGGCCGCATCATGCTCCCTCTGAGCAGTGTAAATCTCCTCAATCAGAGCTGTATTAAACAAGGAGAGGGGAAGAGAAGAAGAGGGAAATTTAGAGAGTGAGAGAGAGAGAGAGAGGCGGAGGGTTAGAGAGGTGGAGAGAACAAGAGAGAAAGGGAAAGAGAGGGAGAGAAAGAGAGACAGAGAGAAAGAAAGAGAGAGGGGGAGGGAGGGAGAGGGAGGAAAAGAAATGGAGCAAATAACAGAGAGACAAGGAAGGGGTAGGGAAGGGAGAAATTTGGAGCAAATAAGAAAAAGAGCAAGGAAAGGAGGAAGAGTGGGAGAGAGAGAGAGGGAGAGAGGGAACCATGAGGTTAGAGATAAATAGTGGTAAATGGTGACAAATAAGAATGATAAATATGATAAATAAATATAACATAGAAAGATGTAAATAGCGAGAAATAAAAAAAGTGGATGAAGGGTAGATACTACACATAAATGCATATTGGTTCACAGAGAAATACAAAAAAATAGGTTCACGGTTTCCAAAATACAGACATAAAGGTAAACAAAACAAGAGTCGCCCTGCAACTGTCTAATTCTCTCATAATACCTTCAACTCTGATATTAAATGAGTGTATCATAATATTCTCTCAATTAAATGCACACACGGTATTACTTACATGCTCCCTTGGCTGCTATCTCTGCTTCTGACATGGCATCTTTCACACCAAGCTGCATCTTCAAAGACTCAATTTCTAGCTTTGCTTCAGAACACTTCTCAGATAACTAGGAATGAGAGAAAAGAAAACAAGTAGACAAATTCAATTACTGGAAACTCATGGAATACATTTTTGGTTTACATGGTTTATAAATTCCTTATGATAAATATTACATTGGGTGTAAAAGTAGTTTAAATTACATGTGAAGGGGTGTCTACATTTACATAGCATTGAAGAGCCATGATCGAATCCAAATTTCACTGAAGTATCAGTCCTTCTTTGAACAAATATCTTTGGGTTAATCTCTGCCAATTTCACTAAACCTGTACATGTAAGTGTTAAATCTCTATTTTAATCTATATTTGTAATAAATACAGATATACATGTACATGTACATGTACAATGATAAAGCTAAAGCCTAGATTATAAATTTTAAAATAGTAATAAATTTATGTGCAAGCTCCTAGAATTATTGGACAGCTATATAAGTCGAAGTTAAGAGTTAGAAGTTACACTGTACTTTCAAATACAAATACTCACTACTTGATTCTTGTCTTTGGTGGCTCCAAGTTCATCTAGGAGCATCGGGAGCCCTCTTTCATCAAAGGGTGCATTCCTAGGCATTTGGAGTGGACTAGTCCCCACCCCAGTGGACACAGTCTCTGACCTATCACTTGTATTAAGCCGAGACTCTCCTTTAGTGGCTGATTCTGTCATGGAGGTGAATGGTAGCGGGGACCTGTCATGCTGGGTACTAGTGGGAGACTGCTGGATCTGGATCGTGACAGGGATCTGCTGAGGAGCCGTCGAGGACTGGCCCTGTGGGCTGGAGTGCTGTAACGTGACCCTGTCCACGTTGCTTCTGACATGATCTCCCTGGCCGCTCTCTTTGGTCTGGGCCGGGATGACCAGGGTAGGGACGGTGAATGGATGGTTGGGATCTCCCGAGCTGTGTCTGCGCTGATGATCAGGTGTTGATGTAGCGTGCTGGGGTATGGCATAGGAAGGGTAATCCGGTCCGATGGTGTGGAGGAGGCGTGGGTCATAAGATGGAATAGGAGGCACTCGATGTGGACTGATCCAAGGGTTGGGGGCGGTGTAGGCAGGGTGAGGTGGAGGAGGAGGAGGAGGGCCATACTCTCCATACCAGGATGAGGGCTGATGCCTTCTTCTACTATAGGAGGACCGTTCATCCCATTCTTCATCATCATTACCTGCAAATTTGGTGAATGAAAGACAGTAAAAATGCTTGTGAATAAAGGGTAAAGCATTGTACAGATACATGTATACCGTGGTAAATAGCTGCATAATCTTTTATCATGACGTATTATGCTTCTGATTTCTGTATATTATACACATAAATACAAGTGACTATGCATAGGACTCCTGTTGCAAGCAGTTGCTCTTAATTTACAATTTGTACAGAAAATACATCAGATTACTTGGATAATTACTATTTTTAATCGATAATACTTCAAATGACCATGCATGCTTATTACAAAAACATGTGTGATACTGTAATCAAGTTTTGCAGGGAAAAATACATGAACCAAGTGCAACATGTAATGTGAATGATCATCTCTTTGATCATCAAAATACAAAACAAAAGAACCACAAGGAGTCCTTACCTCTTCTGGCTTGACCACGCCTCCTGCCCTTTCTCTCTCTCATCCTCCTATCTTCTTCTGAGCTGCAGTAGCTCTCACCAGTCATTTGCTCTTGCCCTTCTGCCTCATCACCTTGATGCCTTGGTTTGCTTCGTGTTGGGGTCCTCTCCTTCCTCTCTGGGGGAGAGTTCCCTCTTCCTGATGGATCAAGTCAAAGAGATATACCAGTAGTCAACAATATGATCAATTTCATCTCAACATCCATGCTACACAATGTATATGGTAATGGAATCTCTCTTTAAAAAAAGTTACCAAGCACATCCAAGCTCCCTCTACCGTGCTCCTGAATACAGAGATACATGTACAGTACAGTGTATGTAGAGATATTTTTTCTCACAAGGACACATAGGAAAGCTACACTTTTATCATTTTTCTTCGTCAGTACAAGAGAATTCAAAAATATTTTTATTTAGTCAGAATATTACACACGGATCCATGTAACTCGGAACTAGAGTTTTAGTATTAATTACATCTTTAGAACACCACATTCAAGGTTATTTGACAGAAATGTGTAAACTACACATGTACATGTAGTTACTAAAAGGGTAATTTTGAATATACAAGAGGTGAAGTTCTACAAAACATTGAGTTTTACAGCCATTTAGAGGTTCAGTGCACTTCAACACTTGAAACCTTATTCACGAGCAATGCCAAGTTAGCCTGACACACTTGCCTTACAGGTTTGCAGGGTGGAGTCTAGTTTGATGTCAGACAACAGTTCTTACATGTACATGTGTGTGCTAAGTAAGAATATGTGTTCCAAAATTATTTTTGCTGTGCTTTTTCTTCAACTGACATTGTGAAATAATTTTTCAATAAAGGGAATAGGACATGAAACTAAAACTTTATCATGCATGTTAAAAAGACAGAAAGGAAATATCCATCTTCAATTGTTACATGTACATGTACATGTACATGTAACTCCCAAGAAGTGAAAAGGATGATGTTAAAAATGTAATGGAAATGGATGAGTTGAAGATGATCAAGCGATGAGAACCAGCCGAGCATCTGTGTCGGAATCCTACCCATTAATCTCTTCCGCTGAGCTGCAGGAGACAACCACTGTTTTAATTCTTCCTTCACAGATGGGCTAGAGCCAGCGTAAGGGTCAATGTATGTACCTTCTGTACTCTTGTCCTGATCACCTCTTTCCGCTGCCTTTCTCATGGCCCGCTCTCGCTTCACCTCCTGATCCCTGAAAGCAAAAACAAAGTATAAGTTAAGTTTTATTTAGCACAGTCGAGAGTGACCAAAGGTTAGCGGTTCTTGAAATACCATATCAGCAAAATCATAAGGTCTTGAACATTATTTAAACAAATATATATAATGATAACTTTCCATGTTTCACTTCTCAAGTACATGTAATTCTCGCTACCCTAAATAGGTACGAAAATCTCGAAATTCGCGAGACGAGGTAATTTTCACTCTCTCGGGTCGTCACTACAACTTCCGGTATAGAGTCCCATCCCGCTGGCGCTAGCGCCTGTGTTCGCTGTGCAGAGTTTTCACGCACGCTAAAATCAGGGTTCTTACGCTTGGAATCATGAGCCCAGCACTGTGCAGCCTCACAAAAGAAAACCATCGTCACTGATGTCAAAAGACGCAAAAAACAACGAATGAAATGTTCAAATAAACGTTGAAATATTTGCGAAAAAAAAAACAAGACCGAGCAGACGACATATTCGGTGCATACACGTTGTGTTTTACGTTTGCGCTATCGCGCCTAGTAATATAGCGCCTGCACAGGAAGCTGTAATGTCGAAAAGCTATCCCATAATGCAATGCGCGTTTTCAGGATTTTCCCCGGATCTCGGCAGAATCGCTATTTGGGGTAGCGAGAATTCCATAGGTCTAGTTAATATTGAAACTGATTTTAAAAATTACAATTACCATGAACCCAGTACATCAATTTTATCCTAAAGCCAATTAGCAACCTACAAATTCTTAACATTTTACGCAAAAGAGTCTGTTTGCATCAGGATCACATCATCCATTATGTGTACTAATTCTATTCCCTTTATTAACCCTTTTTAATAATTTGCTAGCTTTATTCATTAAACCTCAAAACACCCCCTAAATTATACTTCGGTGAAAGAAGCCCCACTACCGTGCTGTCCGTTTTGAAAATGCATTTGATGGGGCCTGTATCACGACTATACTCGTGATACAGGCCCCATGTCCGTGTTGTAGAACATGCAACGCCGTTGCGTGGGGCCTTTATCACGAGTATATACATGTATAGCGAGTTGAATAGGAGACTCGTATAGTATACTCGTGATACAGGCCCCGCGGCTGTGTTGAAGTGCGCGCGATGCCGTAGCGCGGGGCCTCGATAACGAGTACATAAGTATAGTCGTAATACAGGCCCCGCGGCTGTGTTGAAGTGCGCGCGATGCCGTTGCGCGGGGCCTCGATCACGAGTATATAGATCTACAATGTATAGTGAGCTGGCTGAAGTTAGAAGTCCAGAGCTACCATTACCAAGTGTCGCGCATTAGGCGTAACGTCACGCATTTGGAGGGTCTGAAAACGGCTCTCACGCACGGCGCGCGCTAGATTAAAAAAAAACGCCATACCTATACGTGTGTTATACCCTCGCACGCGCGCCGAAAAATGAAAATGTCACGCATTGCCAATCTTTTACCTTGGCGCCTCTGAAAGTCTAATATAATCGATTCAAAACAATTGCGGGGCCTATATCACGAGTATGCCTTAAATGTAGTCAATTTCAAGTCAAATATTACTAATTACGCAGATGTCATACTGATACTCGTCACATATATACACAAGGGTGTAGAGCGTGGTGTAAATGGAGGGCACTGCTCCAGTCCAGGCCGCCTGGCCGAACGGCGGCGATGTGTGCGGTGTCCTGCACCAAATGAAGCTAAATCTAGTTGATACACACAGACACCTATAAATATTGTAAACAACTCACTTGTTTGCAACTTCTTGCTTCAAATTTGATATTTTAATCCGCGTTTTATGTACAGCCTGATGAATCTGGCCAATAACCTCTTCACTATTGGAACCGCTAACCCTGTCTGTATGAGGAGAAGCAACAAATTTAGGCTGTTGGTTGATTCGAAATTTGTGTTCGTTCAATGAGGAAATATCGGCCATTTTGGACGCCAATTGTGTTGCCGTGGAGCTTCATGGGATATGCACCACCGGATATTCGACGTATACGCGTATACGGTATGTGTAAGTCGGATCGGAGGGGCGCGGCAGAATTAGGGTGTGGTCATAGTAATGCTGAGGTTTTTTTTTTTAGCTGGGTGTGGTAGTGGTGAGAGTGGAAAGACGAACATGAATTCGAATAGTTAATTAATTACTTGACATTATCACATAATTATAGACTATATATCTAGCAAGGCCTAAAGTAGTCCTTATTGCATTAAAAAAGGGCCTATAACTCCTAATTTGCCTAAAGTCGTGACAATTTTTGTGACATTCTTTTTAATGACGACGACGATGATGATGATGATAATAATATTAATAACAATGACAATAATGATAATAATAAAAAATAATAATAGTATTAGTACATAATTATTATTAGTAGTAGTAGTAGTAGTAGCAGTAGTCAGGCGCGGATCGAGGATTTCTTAGGGGGTGGGGCCCAAATATGCCAGCCAAATATTGGTACGTAATGGTGAGACCGGCAATGGCGAAATGAGCAAAAACATTTGGGGACGAAGGGGGGGGGGGTGGTGGTAGACAACAAATCTGCACCACCCCACTCTTACATGCAGCCCCTGCTGAACGTTTCTCTAAGTAGGTAGGGGGAGGGGTAGATATTTAAATAAATTGGCGTTGGGTCTAGGGGTGAAGCCCCTGCGGGGGTCCAGGGGTGGAGCCCCCAGAAGCTCAGGGGTTTTAGGCATTTAATTACGGTCAGAAAAACATATACCTCATTTGTGATACTGGCAGGATACTAATTGGCGTGAGGTCAAGGGGGCGGAGACCCCAGTAGCTCAGGGGTTTTAGGCATTAAATTACCGTCAGATGAGCTTCCAGGTGCCCGTCTTAGGGCCCTTGGTGGACTCCAGGGGCAAAGCCCCCAGAAGCTCAGGGGTTTTAGGTTTGCTGGGGGAGGCAAGGGCCTTTCGCCCCCCCCCCCGATCCAAACGATGTTGGTTGGATTATCTCAACATTACTGTTCTCCCCTTCTTTTCACCCTTTTCTTGTCTTATTCCTCTTTTTTATTCCCTTTTAGCTCTCCTCCTTCCCTTTCCCTTTACCCCCTTCCTACCTTTTTTTTTTGGGGGGGGGGGCGGGGTGAGGGAGGCAAGGGCCTTTCGGCCCCCTTCCCCGAACTACAACTTGTTGGCGGGAAAATTGCAACTGATATCCCCTTCTTTTCTTTTCTTCTTCCTCTTTTTTCCTACCCTTTATCTCCTCTTTTCCTCTTTTTTCCCTTTCCTTCCTTCTCTCTTATTTTGTGATGGGGAGGGGGGGGGGGAACAGCTGGGAAGCAAGGCCCTTTCTGCCCCCTCCCCTCCCCTGATCTCCTTCTGTCTCCCCCTTTGCTTTTCTTCTTTCTCTTCTTTCTTTCCCTTTCTATCCTCTTTCCCTTATTTTCCTTATCTCTCTCTCTCTTTCTTTTTTCTTCTTTTTTGCGGAGGGGGGGGGGGGGGGGGGGGGGGGGGGGCAAGGCCCGCTCGCCTCCCTGCATCCGCGCCTGGCAGTAGTACCAGTGGCGTAATGAGCAAAAACGTTTGGGGTGAAACTCCTTGACCCCCCCCCCCCCAGCCGTAAGAGGCTTATCGTGCTGTACGCATCAAATTAACACACGCACACACACACACTCTCTCTCTCACTCACTCTCACCCTCTGCCTCTCTTTGCTTTTTTCAAGATCTTGCATTTCACATTATACATATTGCATTTGTATTTTGTACATCGATCTAGATCGTCTTCAAATGCATATCTTTTTTTTTTATACCCCAGCACTAATTTTATAAAACAAGAACATAAATTATCGCTCTTAATTTTTGTTTAATTGATTCTAAATTAGAATGACGACTAAATTGTGAATTCATTGGATCCTTTATTTAGTTATTACAACTATTAAACTATGATTACTGCATTTGAAACTTTCAACAAGTATCATTCATGATCATCACTAAAGTACTTCCGATCATACTGAAAAAAAGAGTTGAAATATAACAATACATAGATCTCTTTTATATTTTTGGTGTCGGATTTTCCACTGACTACATTTAGGAAAAAACACCTTTTTTTTTCCTTTTAGATTTTGACTAATATTACACAAAAATATAATTCAAATGACGAGAATGGAAATAAAGTTACTCTTTTATCGTGATAGCACAATGAATGAATGAATGAATGAATGAATATAATAATAATAATAATATATAATAATAATAATTATAATTATAAAAAACGGTGCTTATAAAGTCTTTAAGCGCTATAACAAACAAAATGCAATGACAAACAATTACAAATAAACTTACAAAGTAAAATACATACAAAATATGCTATAAACGTTAGTGTATTACTCCATTGTTATACTATCTTAATCTGCTAATAGTAAATAAAACTTAAAATTTGAACAAATGTACGAGGTTAATGCAATAGTTACTTGTTATGGACTAGACATTGAGTTTCATATAATAATCACAAGAGCACCTTGTTTTTTTTTACCGACAAAGGTGCCGCTATTAGGCCTATACAAATTAAGGTAGGACTGTGGACCTTTCAGTTTCTCCAGTTCTGTTTTCAGTATATGCAGGGTACATTGTGGTGACTGGTGATATACTTTCTAAATGTACAGTGTAGAAATCCACTCTTTAAGGATTCATATTGGGGATAAATTCACGTTGGAGTGGAAATCCACGTTAACAAGAGTGGACTACACTCTCAAAGACTAATTTATTTATAATTAATAATATTGTACAAATATAATGACAATACAACACTCTGGCCAACAGATGATAAGAATATCAGTTCGCGCCAGTGATCTTCGTTCTCTGGATGCAACCATGTTGTCCTCCAACCAGAAGCTGGGTCTACCAGCGCACAGCGCCCCGACAGTTGTACCGCTAGACCCTTGGAGGAAACCCGCGGGGATCTCGCCGACGTTCACAAAGTTCATGTCGGTCAACTCTCTGGCTACGAGGTCAAGCACTTCACCCTTGGTTAGAGAGAGGGAATGTTAAAGATAACATTAGCATTAATACTATTAATATGATGGATTTATATAGCGCCTAATACATCTAAGATATCTCTAAGCGCTTTACAGAACTGATATCATTACCAAGGGTGTCGATTTGTATCCGTGGTTGGAGGGATGATAGCAGTCCCAACATATTTTCGGCAATGGATCAAAGCAATCAAGAGGTAGAAGCGTATGGCAGGTTGTACCCCCTCCCTTCCAACTATTAACTTTTTAAAGTCACCCTCAATAAACATAACATTTCAGAGAATATGGGACCCATGTGGGTCCCACATGGGCTTGCTACCTGGGTTATTATCCTCTCAAGCGCGTAGCCAGGATTTTATTTTAGGGGGGAGGTAGTGAGCAGGCGAAGCGCGCTCCCGGGGGAGTTTCTCCTTTCTCCGCGCGTACCGCGGAAGCTTTCACGTTTCATTAATTATTAGAAAAAGAAGACGATTCGTTGTACCATTCTCGACTCTTACTCCTTGTCTAAATTCAGTTCCCCTACCCCTCCCGCGCGAAGCACGGAAGCTTTGACGTTTCATTAAATTATTAGAGAAAGAAGACGATTCGTTGTACCGTTCTCGACTCTTAATCCTTGTCTAAATTCAGTTTCCTTTGACGTTTCATTACATTATTACAGAAAGAAGACGATTCGTTGTACCGTTCTCGACTCTTTATAATTGTTTGAATGAAGTTCCCCTTCCTTCGCGCGTAGCGCCGAAGCTCTGACGTTTCATTAAAAAATTAAAGAAAGGATACGATTCGTTGTACAATTCTTGACTCTTAAGCCTTGTCTGAATTCAGTCCCCCCCCCTTCCCGCGCACAGCGCGGAAGCTTTGACGTTTCATTAAATTATTAGAGAAAGAAGACGATTCGTTGTACCGTTCTCGACTCTTAATCTTTGTCTAAATTCAGTTTCTTTTGACATTTCATTAAATTATTAGAGAAAGAAGACGATTCGTTGTAACGTTCTCGACTCTTAATCCTTGTTTGAATCAAGTTCCCCTTCCTTCGCGCGTAGCGCGAAATCTCTGACGTTTCATTAAAAAATTAAAGAAAGGATACGATTTGTTGTACAATTCTTGACTCTTAAGCCTTGTCTGAATTCAGTCCCCCCCCTTCCGCGCGAACCGCGGAAGCTTTGACGTTTCATTAAATTATTAGAAAAAGAAGACGATTCGTTGTACCGTTCTCGACTTTTAATCCTTTTTCTTCCTACGTCCTCTTCCTTTCTTCTTTCTCTCTCTCTATCTCTTTGGCCGGTGTTTTTTTTTTTTTTTTTTTTTTTTGGGGGGGGGGGGGCGACCGCCCTTACCGCCCCCCTGGCCACGCGCCTCTATCCTCTCTGTCTCTCATTATCTCTCTCTCCCACTTTCTGCTTCTTTTTTGCACTTTTGCGGTTCGCGCTCAACATTTAGCTCGTTGTTTTTAACGCTGCGGCTTTACATTTGGCGCACTGCATTTCTATGATGCTGTTGATTGAATAAATTGAATAAATTGATCAATTCCTGATGAAGCCGTATGAGCGAGAATTTAATTTATTCTTGTCTCATATACGGTTGTCTCATTTACTTCGTTTTCTATTTATATATGTATGTATTATGAAAATGAGATAGCAAAATGTGTATATTTATGGTCATCTTGCGAGTAATAACCATTAACTACTCTCATCGGGCTCTCATCATTAATTTTTCTCTTCATTTTTTAATTTTTTTTTTATGGTGAATTATTGGGGGATGATTGTACAGGCCACCCCCCCCCCCCACCTGAAATATTGGGGGGATATATCCCCCCCCCCCATCCCCCCGGGATAGACACCCATGATCATTACCCTGCTCATTACAGTCATTCAGACTGACATGATTGTACACAACTCAGGCATATTATAGGCCTATGCGCCATTCCAGCCGGGCGCCTTTTAAAAGACATTGCATCCTACCAGGCACCCATAATTTCTGAGATTCAAACTAACTTTCACTGAATTCTGAAAATAAACGACGTCTGCTGAACAATTAAAAAAATGTAATAAGCAAATAATGACAATAAGAAGGACCTAGTCACCACGTGGTTCCTGTTAATGATTTACAACAATCTTTGGTCATATTTTTGTCTTCGCATAATTTTTTATATCATATTCAAAAAATTATCAGCCATCTATTGCATGATAAATAATCTTGAAAAAAGCTTTCAAATTCTATCACTATGATAGAATTTGAGTATTTCACAAAAAAAAATGTGAGACATCATTTTCCACACCCCTCCAAATTACGGGTCAACAGGGGTCACAATTGCAGCAGTTACACTGACAAATGCAAAGTCCTTGTGAATATTCGTACTCCAGATGATGTCATCAAGATGGTATCTAGTTTTTAGGTCGACATCTTCCGAATTTCAAAGCTTTAGATTTCGAGTTTTTAGAGCGCTGTTATTCTTCTGGCAGACACTATAATAGCATATAATTTATATTTTTTTAATCTATGACTTTTTCCGTTTTTCCCCTTCGATATAATCATTAATTTAATCAATTTTCAATTTCCAACAGGGTCATATTAACGTGATGAATGGCACCTACCTCACTTTGCTCGCCCTCCCCGGACATGAATTTTTTCAGGTTGTTAGCCATTTCTGCAGGCCATGGGAATGCAATGCAGATGTTTTCATCGTGTATGTTGACAAAGACCAGGGACTGTGGGTAAGAGATACAAAACATAATGGAAAAGTATATCAGCCAAACAAAAATGGAAATTTAAAGACTAAGTCCACTCCAAAAATAATTTGTTTTAAATATATGCAAATAAACAAGATAAACAGAGCAAAACAAATTTGAGTAAAATCGGATAACTAATAAGGAAGTTATGATTTTTTGAAAAAGTATGAAAAAGTATGGAACAATGGAAATCACTTGGCTATCAGTTTGTGACGTCATGTCCTCACTATTTTATCAATTGCTCTATATATTTTAATCCCATTAATTTCCCTTTTGATCCCGCAAAACTTGATCTCTCCATGCCTTTGCCAAGGTTATATGATTTGTATGATATATGCGTGCATGACAGTTCACAAAATCTTTTATGACCTTTGAAGAATTAATACTATTTTCTGAATATTTCATATTCATAATTATTGATTTTTATATCAATAATTCATGAATTAACTGAAAAAAATACTCTTTTGTGCACCCACACAGAATCATATTATTATCAATGTAACTTGGATGCTGGTGTGAAGTAAAAATAAGAAAACAATTAGTGGATAGTGAGGCAATGACTTAACAAGCTCATGAGTAAGTTGCCAATTTGTCCTGTGATTTTCAAAGTTTTTCATGTCATTAAGATTTCAAACTTTCTTATTAGTTATCCGATTTTTCTCAAACTTTTTTTGATTGGTTTGTCTGATTTTTCATCTTCTGTTGAAAGTAAGTTATCTTTAGAGTGGACTTGCCCTTTAATGGAAATCTCTGAGTTTAAATGATTTAGTCTTTACTCTACATTAGACAAATTAAGACAAGGAAGTAAAAGCAAAAAAAGTTATGGTTCATATAAAGTGAAGGGAGGATGTAAGAGAACTCTCTCTCCCCCAACCTCTCTCTCTCTTTCTCTCTCCCTCTCTCTCTCTCCCCCCTCTCTCTCCGTCCCTCTCTCTCTCTCTCTTTCTCTCTCTCTTCCCCCTCTTTCCTTGATCTCTCTTATACAAATTAAAATTCAAATTAATTAGAATCTGGACATAATCATAGTTAAATATAATTATAAACGTATAAATAAAACAATGAAAAAACTAAATAAAAGTAGGCCTACGCCGAATTTGACTAAGAAAGGGGACGTGCCTCCTCCTTCCCGTTGCCCTCGTAGCTACGCCAGTGTGGAATAACGATTATGAGACAGTCAAGTACATACCCGATCGTAGTCCAATGCTACGGTAGCCCGAGAATAGCCGCTGAAGTTACTGGGTGGGGTATGGATGAGAAGGGTATTACTGGCTTGAATGTACTCGAACTGTTCTGTCATGATACGACCATCTCCCATCACCAACTTGGTCTCCTTCATCTAAAAAAAAATGCATAGTTTTAAAACGAAGTTTGATTATTATTTTTCGTTTGAACGAAATATAATTCGCACAGTTTGGGAAATTTCCATGACAGTCTTGTTCATCTGTTGGATGTACTTACTTCTAAAAGTCTACAAACTTGAAATAATGCACTGTCTATAAAGATTGAACAGATTGTCCCTGTGACTGACAGGGATAGTCTAACCTGTCAATTGAGGCCATTCAAGGGAGCCGAAGGAGTGACCAATGTAGACAGGTTACATTTCAAAACTGTTTGCACAACACATACTGCTCCCTAGCGGGGTCTTAATAATGAGTGATCATATCACTATTACTATTAGCAGAGACAGCTTCAAGTATACAAGCAAAATGATACACGACATAAGTTAGAGAATATGTTACCATTATCACTGCACGATTATCAATGTATTCCAGGTTATAGGGATAAAGTATAGAACAGCGATGGTTCACTGGTAGAGCAGTCGTCTCTCAACCGGGAGGTCCCGGGTTCGAAACCAAGCCGATTCGCTAGTGCCCTTTGGTAAGGCATTACTTTTCATTACAAAGTCCTTCGGAGAGGACTTAAACTGTCGGTCCTCTGGTTGCTTACTTACAAGAATACATATGCTTTCTCAGCAGTCGGGAAAAACAGACCATCAAACCAAACCGTCAACTACTGCACCATAATTACAATTTCGACCTAACTGCAAAGTGATCTAACAA